ACCTAGGTTATCACCAATAATTAAAGATAAAACAAAGTAAATGTGGAAGTCTCCCTCTTGAGTTTTTAAAACTATGCCCTCCGTTTCTAATTGCTGAATGATTTGTATCAAAGGATTAAATGCAAAAATATTGCCGTATTCTTTTCGATGCCTAGATTTAAAGAAGCCTGCAACAAAATGGTTTTCTAACGTCGACAAATGGTGACTTGGAATTGTTGGAAAATTGTAATATATACCACAAATTGCTTGATCAGCAGCATGGGAACCCAAAGGGTTATCAATTCCAAATTCATCATAATATATTATGTACGGAATGACGAGTTTATCTCCAAAACTAGAAATTTTTTTCTTCCAAGTTTCCCCGTGAGTGAGATTTTTATATGTATTTTGATTTGACTGTAGCATTTTCATATTACCTAACGTTTTGCTCAAGTTATTGTCTGTTTCGAAATATTTCTTCATTTGAAATTTGATTGGCATTAATACACCTACCACTTTGTTTGAATTTAAACCCGGGTTACTATTAACTACTATTTCTGCTATTTCTTCATTGATAATGTATGAAGTTGGAAGTTGAAAAATTTGTTCACTTTCCAAAGCCTTAAAAAAACGGTACTCATTAATATTATTATCGAGAGCAGGAAATAAACTAAGGAAATTTGTTTCAGCGGTTGTTCTGATATTTGAGTTTGATATTAAAGGCGACAGTGACATTAATACATGTTCTTGTATTGGCTTTAAAATTGTATCGTTAATTTCTTGTACAATAGAAAACACATCTTTTCTTGTGAAATTGTTTTTGTTATGTAGAGACAATACAAACATATTCATATTAAATTTTTTTTGCGTTGTATTATTAAAATTAGAACTTAATTTATTAGTCTGCCCTTTAGTAATATTAGGCCTAACAAAAACAGGTGCATGATAAGATACAGCAGGTGTACTTGGCAACGACGCATGAACTCTACGTAGGTGGTTTTGAAAACTATACACGTTTGAAAAACATTGACCACATTTAGAGAAAGTGCAAACAAAATTTTTTATCTCAGCAAAAACATGGAAAGATTTCAAATGGTCAACTAACAATTTTGATGTAGAAGACCTTTCGTTACATATAAAGCATTTGAACATTTTATCAATCTACTCCAACAAGTTTTGAGTATCTTTTAAATAATTCTTAAGTGTAATAACATTAGGGTGTGCACAATCCGCAATGCCAAAAAAAGTAGGATTCGATAAAATTATATATGGATTTCGCTTGTATCGGATATTCCAAATTTAATACATGAAAGATTTTAAATAAAGTATCAAGTGATTTTAAAAATGTCGGTACCTTGTAAATTATACTGTCGAAAATAACGTAAAAAGAGTCTAACTGAGTTAGTTTCTCTCCGACTACCAATAGTAGCGGCTGAAGAGGAAGATTCTTTTGATTTAACTTAATCTTTAATTCGTGGTACATCCTCTGATAATCGTTTATGCTGCTGCAATGCAGCAATGTCACTGCTTGCGCATCACATATTGATGGCTTCCATTTAAGCCGTTTTTCACCAGAAGTTTGTCCAACGGAAATTAATGACGGTTTAAGTATCGCATGCAAAAGCAGTGTCAATAAACAATCCATTGAGTCTGCATAAGAAAATAAAATAAATACTTGAAAAAATAAATATTAGACTTGTTGCTTTACCAGTACTGATGTTTTCGTCAATTTTTTTTAGCATATCAATGGACGTTGCATCTCTTATTTTTGTCTTCATGTAAGGTATAATTGACTTTCTAAATTTTGGCCATTTGTTTAGCAAATTCTGCGAACAGTTGGGAAATTTCGCTTCAAAATCAATTTCAACCTGCAGTATAATTGAAAATATACAAATTCCAAAGTTTTATATCATAAATAAGAAAATTTAAAATAGGTACATATATAAAGCTAAACTTACCAAAGTGTATCCAAGACTGTCCATCCATAAAAAAAGTCCATTTTTCTACAACATCGCCCCAAGGCTCTACATTATGACAAAGCCAATTTTTCATGGCTAAGTCATTTTCATCTGCTAATCGAAGGAAATATTAATCATGGTTTTTCCTTACATGTGTATGTACTTATTTTTGTATGTATGTACGTGTAGGTATTGCACCGTGCGACAAAAACAAAAAAATTTCGAAACCCACGAAGCAATCAATATACTCACGAAACTGTGGGCCAAATATAGTGGTATATACATACATACACGTACATAGATAAGTACGTTTTTGTAAAATTAAATTTACTATTGCTCGCCTGCTCCGACAAACTTGATTGAGTGGGTTGACATTTAGGTGCAACGCTTAGTGCTCCTGTTTCTTTTTTTATTTTCCTTCGGATGTTTGTTGCCTTATCATAAAGTTTGCCTGTTGGATTTTTGCCATTTCGACGGTTGCAGTAATAGCGCTAAATAAAAGTAAAATAAATGCATTTAAGTGTTGAATTTTTTTTTTTTTAATATTCACAACGTTTTTCAAGCTAAATTTATTCTGTTATTTTTCTATAAAAATTGTATCCAAGCTTTAGCCAAAACCATATAAATCAGAGTTTCGAACTTTCTTCCACTTTTTATTTCGTAAGAAATTCATGCTTATAAGGAAAAAAAGGGCAAAAATCTGTCAGCTAAAAAATTATTAAAAATCAGTGCTATTTTTCATCCGCTTGAAACTTGATCCTCCTTTACATATGTATTTACAAATTTTGATAGCAAGTGAATATGAAAATGCATACATACCATGTCTTCGTTGGGAAATAAAATTGTTATTTGCTCAGAAAAGGTGATGATATCTTTCATTGTCATAGGCACTGATCGCGCTGAGAAGTGGTCAACAATGGTATTTACCAAAATGTCACGACTAACATCTGACAGCACGGTCTTTTCTCTGTATTGTTTAAAGATGCTTTGACCTCTTTCAGTGGCATTAAGTATTAACTTTAAATTCTTTGCTTCCATGTCTCTTATCGAGTCGTGAGACTCTTGGCTAGAATTTATCCAACTCTTGCATAATCCTATTGACGAAATGGTATCAGCCTTAAAATAAAAAAAGTATGCAAAGCTTATCATTGATGTGAAAATGATTTACTTACTTCATTCTGTCGCCAACGTGCAACTCTTTCTTTAAACTTTACTCTCGTTCCGAGCATTGATGCAGGGAAAAGTTCATTTATGTCCCCATCGTTGATGAAATACAGACTTTCTACATCCATTCCGCAATCTGTCAATAACATAAATATGCATATGGTTCCTCGCAGATTCTCAAAGAACTTACCGAGAATTCTTTGATAAACTTCTTCACTGAAGTTCATTTTACCACATACGACGTCTTTCAAATTTTCTTTTTCACGTGAAGCTTCAGTGGCTTGGCTTTGCTGCAGTGAAGTCTCAACTTCATTCCCCATGGTTAAATCACCATCAATAAGGAAATATATGCCCGCCGATTCCCCAAAGACATTTTCTGTACCCATTCTTCTTAATATTTAAATAGCTTTTTTTAATAATCTTTCACAAATAATACACCAAATAAAAATGCAACCGAATGACGAAGAACGCGCACGCAAATAAAATATTACGGTACTTTTATGTTCTCTAACCACATACCCTGTAAAATTCACAATAGCTCATGTCAAAACAAACAGAAATCATGTTGCCAGACCTTTTTAACATCAACTAAATGTAAATTTAACACTTTATGTGTTTGAATCAACATTATTTAAAAAAAACCCTCATGTAAATTTTACAATAACTCAGGTTGCAACAAACAGGAATCACGTTGCCATATATTTTTAACACTATTCACATGTAAATTTAACACTATATCTTGGTAAATTAACCAAAAATACTTCATGTTACTCTTAACACTTTTTTCCTGTTAAAAATATCATGTTAAAATGGAAAAATTGTTGTTGTTTCGTGTGTACAACTGTTTCATGTGAATTTAACATGGATCGTGTTACTTAAAAATCGAGGATATTTTTCTGGGTGAGGCCTCCATGCTTGGAGAGCTCATAAAAAAACCGTCACCTGTACA